GCTTTTTTCGGAAAATTACGAATTTTTTAATATTTTGAAATTCTCTCAAAATCTGACCTTTTAAAAATGAAACAAAATCTATGCATAGCGTAATGATGATTTAAATTAAAATATTAAATCAATGAAAAAAATCCCGATGAAGTAATCTGCCTGGGAGCCTTTGCGTTTTTTCAGTATTACTCACATGACCATGGGCGTGGCCTGATGACGTCATCACTAGTGTTACTGATCATGAAAAAGTTAAAACACATGAAATAACTCTGAAGTAACTAGGCTCATTTCTGTGTGTACCATCTACCAATCCACAAATCTGTTGATGCTGTTTTACAGGAAAAGTCTCGTGGCCGACTGGTAAATATGGTCTCCCCATGCCCAAAGCTGGCTGTCCCAATAATTGGTTTGACGGCCGAAGATTTCACGATGATACCAATGCTAATCTAATTGACGGCAAAGTGTACGACTCACTCCACTTAGCTGGTTGGGTTAGCAAGGAAGGTATAACCAATATTTCTTGTTCATTAAAGATCTTAATGTAATACAGTACAGTACAGTACAATACAGTACAGTACAGTACTGGAGGCGCGGTGGCCTCATGGTTAGTGCGCTCGTCTCCGGATCGAGCGGTCCGGGNCGGATGCATTGGGAACGCTATTACGGGGTTGGATAGGTATTTTAAGAGAATTCTCAATTCTCCACGCCACAATAGTCCATCGTGCGTCTTGCCACTTTCTAATAAATAACGATTACTAACAGCAATTTGGAACTTCTGGAAGATCTTTCACAAGAACTATTCTAGTATAATGTCTTTACGTAGGACACTACTGACCGGCATGGAGAAAGATTGTGACAATGTTTCCCAGTATCTAAGGGAAAAAGGTCTCAACGGACAAGAAATAGTTCAACAGGTTCTGGATAGCCAAACTTGCGTTAAAATATCAAAGTCATATTGTTGCAATAATGTGTATTTAGGTATTGAACAAGACTTCTGTATCAAGACAAGTAAAGATAAGTCTCAAGACTGGCCACGAGGAAGATACTGCATTTTACAACACGAGGCTTGCCCAGCTGGACTTACTGCCGGGTAAATAACATATTATCTTACTCTATGTCCAATGTAATTTTGTACTCACCCAAAAATCGCTTTTACTGGAGAGATATTTAGATCTTGGTCATTTTCTAAAATATAGTTATTATTTTGGACGATATCAGGTCAGTTCGCTGGCGTCCAAAGAGTTCTCATTTCCAAGACTCAAGTGTCAATGGAAAAAAATTGAAAGACACAACAGTAAACTACTGTTGTAGTGCCAGAGGTGAGTGGCTGAGAAACTTTTCATACTCAATATCTACCTTATAATTAGCGGTCAAAGGAAAGCTTTAAAGTGATTTAAATGTTTTCAGGCACGATGAAAAATATTTCTCTCACTGTGTATTACAAATTGTGTAAAGAGCCAACAATGCAGTTCTACCAATTCTGACTCTTAGGTCTCGTTACATGAAAGCCAACGGCTTGACCACAGAAATAAAGTCAACTGTTTGTTGTGCCGAACGAGTTGGTTCTAATATTTTTCAGGCTTGGGGTGCGAGTATTCAGACGAAGGATGTAGAGTAGTACTGCCGTCTTGTTTTGAGCCAATAGTATTTTCAAAAAAGGCCTTCTAACCATTCATCTTCGTCATTGACTCTTCTCTGTTCCCAGGTGAACTCAACAATGCTATCTCGCTGCCTCTCGACAAACCTTTCTACTTGTACTCCCTGAGTGGCGCCAGATGCCAACAAGTCAAAGGTGCAACTGTGAAAGAAGAAACGGTTAACTTTGATAAAAACGCTGGTAGATATCAGATAAACATGGAGGGAGACAATCCATTCCAAATGGACAAGAATGGAGCCCAGATGAAATTGACCTATTGTTATTATACCCCTGGTAAGGAGACATTGTAATCTGATTCGTTTTCAGTATTTGTTCTGTTCTCTCCCCCCCAAAATTACATCGTTTGTTATGCTGCCATTACTGCCTTCCTTCTGTGCAAGATAGGTAAATATATGAAATTTCTCTTCTATCTAGGATTTTAAACATGATCGTTTGGTGTGATCGTATTGAGAGACTTGGAATAGTAACAAAAACTTAATTAGAACTGGATTTCTAGCCTTGCTTTTCCAAGGCTGGTTGATGCACCTTTTTGCATGCCTGTAGTTACACACACTTTACTACACATTACTTTCAGGTCAGCATGTACCGGAACATACACTTAAATCAAACGTCACAGATGGTAATTAAACTTATTTCATGACAAGCATTATTCTATCCAGTTAGTGACATGAGCTCTCGAGTAGAATTCAGGGCTCTTCCAGCAGAGGTCAGCTGTGCCACTGACTGGATAACATCCATCTCACTCTTACGTAGACCGTCATACCAGTTTCCAAACACAGCTCACATATTGACTTAAGTTATTATATCCTATATCACCGCAACCAAATTTGCAAATAGCCAATCAGGAGCCGTGTCCTACTGTCCTGATAGCCTGTCACATACCTGATACATGATGGCTATGATAGCCTGCTCACTTACCGTAAATCCTCGAATTAACGCCCCCCTTCGAATAAGCGGCCCCTTTGAATAAGTACCCCTTCTATCGGCCGAAATTTAAAATAAGCGCCCTTCCCCCTCGAATAAGCGCCCCCTTCCCTTCCCCCCATTTTATAGACGAGGAATGAGATAACAAAGGATGTATAGTTTTGGTCACGTAGTAGTAGATTTGTACATTGTTTCAGTTTGTGAACACGTTAAGTACTAACGGTACCGCGATTTAAACTTTAGGATCAGCTTTTTGTGTCGATAAACAGCTTATGTTGTTGCTAACGCGCATATGATGTGTTAAAAAAATGATCATGTCAGGCCACGATGTGGGAAAAGTTAAATAAGCGGCATCCCCCTCGATTAAGCGCCCCCTTCGAATAAGCGCCCCCCGTCTTCTACTAAATTTGAAATAAGCGCCCCGGGCGCTAATTCGAGGATTTACGGCCGAATTTGGGTGTGATAAATACCTAGTCGTACCTTTTTGGTGCGTTTTGGTGCATATCAGGCTCGCCATCGGTATTTTGGCTTGACTGTGTCTCGCCAAAATATGAACCATGGCTCAACCAAACTCGCTTGATACCAAAAAGATGTGATTTGGTATAAGCAGCATGTAAGGATTGCGTCACATATCAACGTTGCTACATGACCCATGAGTCTGACTGGTGTGCATGCGCCAAGAGGAACTACCAAAAATCAAATTTTCCATATTTTGGCTTGCACCTAAGTAAACACAACTCGTCATATAGCACTGGTTGTCAAGGAAATCTTGTTCGTTTGTGATGAGAAATGATTTTTAGTGCTACACGGCGGTTGTTGTATTGGGGACTACTTTATGCAGCAACTTCAAAGGTTTCATTTCGATTCATTTCAGGCGGTACCGTAGCAATACCAGAAAGTCAGGAAGTTGAGAAAACTCTCTTTACGGGAGTAAGTACTTTATTCATTGAGTAGCTCATCATTCTTTTGATCGTTCTGTAGTTAAGAACTATTTAGGTCTCAATAACCTCTCTGACAGCGATAGTTTAAGGCCTGGGTAAGGAATCGGTAAAGCCACATTATGGTTCGGCAGCTATATTTCTGGTTATATTTGTTTAACCAGGCTAAACGCTTTCCTCATTATAAAACTCGGAAACTTTTCTTGCCTTAACTGAATATTTTGAATTTTTGATGATCAGTTGGGATTTGAACATATGGACCAAGCAGAACCAGTCCGACGTAATGGCTTACTAACTTAGCATGAAAGATCGATGAAAGCAGGTCGATAGGAAGTTAGATTGACATCAAAAAAGATGTGTTAATATGTCTATGAAATATGCATTACATAATTTCTTTTTCCATTTTAGTCTGAGCTGGACAACAAGACCCAGTCCTCTGGCCTGGCAGTTGCCATTGGTATAGGAATCGCATGCGCAATGGTTGGTACAGCGTCCATTGCTCTGGTGACGAAAAAACTGATGAGGAAAAAGAAAGATAATGATGACGACGACGATGACGAGCCGAGACCTGACGATCCTTGAGATTTATATGTTCGTAAAAAGTAAAGTATAGGAAATTAAAAAGTAAAGAACCTTTCTTTAAGTGTCAAGGTATTTAGCCCTAGCGGACTAATTAGGGACACTAAACAAGAATGAATCTACATTACT